CGCAAAGAAGGATATAACGTTAACGGTGTCCCCTCGGGCGGCACCGGTCCAACAAAGACGGCCGAAGGTCTCCCAACTTCAGCGACAGGTACGGGCCGCATATACGTAACTGTCACTGCTGCAGCAAATCATGGCAGTGTTGCGAGCGTTTTCTTTGGGGATGTGGTGCTACTCGGGATCTTTGCAGTCTCGAGTGTCGTCATTCCCGCACTTCTGTTCCTTTAATACTCGAGAATAACCCTTTCGACCAGAGCAAAAAACGACCGAAACATCATCTCCATCTCCGACTCCAACACCGTCCCCCGCAACAACCACAATAATTGATACTGTCCTTACTCGAACGAATCTCTCGCCGACATCCACTGATCCGACTTTCGTCAACCCCACCACATCAAGCTCTACTCCGATAACTCAAACAGAAGCTCCATACCCTTTGAACCCGAGACCTAGCCTTCAACCAAAAGATGTTGCTGGAATAGTGCTGGGGGTCATCAGCGCAGTTATTGCAGCAATAGGACTGTACTTCTTGGCAAAGAACAATCACCAAAATGACGGGCGTGTTCATGTATGAGGCGCTCTGGTTGTTGGGGCTAGTTGGTGTTTTGTATGATTTAGTCGGATCAAGGGACAATGGTGTTACGGGAGCTGGCTGCTGGTTCGTTATATATAATTATGTACATTTTCAACGAAGGGACGTTTCAATGCAGTACGTACTTAAGTATCATACTTACCAAGGTAAGTACGTATATGGTCCGTTCTATACACAACCGGTATCCGTTTGCAAACTTCGGCGACCGATTTGCACACTGATGCCTGCTCACGAGTGGAAGAATAATATGCGAGCTCTTCAAATCTCCATCTAGGTAAATGCAAGCTGCGGTATGGTAGTTCCCACCACAAGTCTAAGATAGGACTTCGAGGTTGGTATCTAGTGTTGGCGGTTTCTTGGCTATTGTAACGTTTTCTGACAATCGAAAACTCTTAAACCACCATAACTTTGCAATGGTTTTACGAGGAACACACGGAGTTGAAAACTCACTGTGTTTGGAAATGTTGATGAATTTATATATCGTTTGGACGAAGTTAGCTATATAATTAGTCCTAGGTCTAAGGGACTGACCACCTGGTACGACCGATTATTTTGTACTATACCGCACGAGTTGTGCTATATACGATGGTATGAGATTAGATTAGACTCGAGTAACCCAGAGCATAATCAAGCACATGCTCTACTCTGCATACTTGAGTTTTGCTCGTGCCAAACACAAGAAGCAGAAGTATGGGCCCTTTTCCCGCTAAAATAACAACTCTGTCCACACAACACCACGAAAAACCAGACATTATCCATGGGATCGTGTTTTTTTAGGACGGGGTTATAGTACAGACTACCGACTACGGTGTTTTCGGCGGAAAAGGTCTGCCAAAAGCGCGCAGGGGCGGCTATCGATTCATCACGTGATCACCGGGCATTGATCGGCGCGTGCGTCTTGGACATACAATCGCGCGGCAAAAGTTAAATGAGGTTTCGAACCCAGTGTTTACAGCACTTGTACAGCCTGGCGTTTGTAGAGCTGTAAGTTTCGAACCCGCACTCGGTGTTTTCAGCACCTGGTATTTGTTGCACCATACCGGCTGAAGCAGCTCTTGAACATTCTACAATCTCTACCATCTTGTATAAAACCTCAGGTGGATCTCGAAGGGCAAAAGCACTGTAAAAGTAGGTTTGAAACCTGTGGTCTAGCGTTTGCAGCGCCAGAAGGTTTTAAGCCTGGGACGTTTATAGCGCCATGACTTGGAGGTTTCGAACCTCGGTGTTTACAGCACCTGGTGTTTATTGCACTGGTTAAGCTAAGCTATTAGCTCTTGGAAATTCAATGTCCTCAATCATCTTATATAAAACCTAAGCTGGATCTCGAAGGGGAAAAGCAGGGCAAAAGAGTAACCACTGCAGGTTTGGAATCTGTATAGCATTTGAAGTGCCATGAGGTTTTGAACCATGTCGGTTGAGCATAGTTGACACTGGTACTAGCCAACCTTCCATTTCAGCCCGCTGAGCAATGAACCGAAGGCCAGAGCTTTGCCAGTTAGTCAACTGACTAGAGAAGCCGGCGGCTGAACTAGCATTAACACGGTGCTCAAACCCCCACTACCATCATCGCAGATGAGGCGGTTGTGTTTGGTGATTCTACTGGCCCACCATCGTCTTATTTTCCAGTGTTACAGCATGCAACAAACTGCCTCAGTATATCAAGAAAGGGGAGACTACTTGGTGGGAAAGAAGCAGAAATAAGAACCAAAACGTCGTTCATTCAATTCAGCACAATAAGCACAATACAAAAGACGAATCGAGTTTTCGCTCATGAAGCACCCGACTCCTAACGCCTACACAGCCCAATCAACGCCCAGTGTTTCTAAGCGGCCGCCCGGTGATCTATAGTTCCATAGACCGGACTGACCGCTTGGGAACACTGTCAACGCCTACTTAATAAAGCTCTCAAAGTCCGCAATACCCCGCTTAACCCCATGCTCAAACTGTAACCTCATTAGCCATTGCAACATCACGATGAGTAGATACCAAACTCACCTCCCACAACCACATACTTCCCCATGTCCCTCTCTCCGCAACATGATCCCTGAGCCTCTTACCAGCCCACATATTGACAAACCCAATCGTATCCCCTCCGTCCCTCCCCTTCTCCACTCTTTTCTCCCAAAACGTAACCGCATCCCAGAAGCCAACATCATACCCAGCCTCATACCTCCAATGCTCCATCTGGCGTCCCTGACCATGCTGGTTCCAATAATCCACATGCTGTTTGATGGCAGTAGCTCTCAATGCAACTTGATGTTGCTTCGCCTCCGCGCTGATCTCTCTTACCCTTTGTGCAGGTAGTGTGAAGCCAAGAGATGGTGGGACATTCCCTTTTTTAGTCTGCTCCACGAACCCCCATTCGCCACCGTCCATCCATTGCATCTTCCCTGTCCAGAAAAAGGAGCCGCCGTTAATTGGCTTGAGCTCCTTTTCCCACCGCCGGATTTCAGTCTGGCCAAGCTGTCTGATCAAATCTGGACGGGCGGCGGGGTCGGCTTTTGACCAGCTCTCTTCTGCGAGGACGCAACTGTACTCGCCGACCACTGTGCCGACTTCTTTCTGATCGTAGGTAAAGAGCTCGGAAAGTTCGTTTGTGACGGCGGAGATTATCTCGGGGGGACTCTTGTTCTTGTTGCCGGGGTCAAAGCAGTAGTATTTGTGGATGTCGACGATTACGGGAGGAGAGATAGAGGGATTGGTGCGGCTGGCTGAGTTTTTCGTTGCTGCGTACTGTGAATGGTGAGTATGTCTTATTGCATCTGGGATGAGAAGGGGTCAAACGTCAAGGGCAGGTCCGCTGTTCCATGCGTCACTGATGTATACTGGCAATCTTGGATCAACAGATGCAATTGCAGCCTTAGTTGCAGTTAGTGTCATCATAATCTCCAACGGGGATAAACACTAACCAACGTATGATCATACCAGCTCCACATCCCCCTGTCCCCAGCTCCCATGATAGCTTCGTTGACCACCTGAAGACCAAGAACCCAATCCCTTAGCGTGGGATCCGCAATTATCTCCCGAGCAATGGTAACCAGGACCTCAGTAGTGAGTGCCCTGTAAGTCTGGTTCTCCCAAAATTCACTCTTGCCAGAGTCTTCGTCCAACATCAGTCCGCTTTCCCTAACAGAAACAGAGGATGATCATACCGGTCCCCGAATGTTCGTCTTTATTCGCGCCTCCTGGAAGCGCATGAAGGTCCAGTAACACAGCGATCCCACGCTCAGCGGCAGCGTGGATATACCCCTTTACCGCCGTCCACGCATTCACATAAATGCTCCCATATGCCTCAAAAGGAGTTCCCGCACAAAACCGGGGGCCAAGAGTAAACCATCCGATTGGAAGGCGGATGGACGTGACTTTTCCAGTCTCTCGAAGGAACATCCAGTCGGCGGGCGTCATTGCCGTAGCCCAGTGCTATCTGGATCAGCTCAAGCTGCCTTAGGGTGGGACTTGAAAGTATGGATCTACCTGTTCCCACTTCACCCTCGCAGCGTCCAACCCATGGGCATCCACGAAAGCTGTAACGGCAGAGAGCTCGCTCCCGCCTTTCGCTGACTCTAGGAACATTGATGGGAAGAGCCATCGCTCGAGTGTAAATACTGCGCCAATGTTTGTTCCGTGGTGCGTGCGGTAGCGGTTCACTTCTTGCAAGGTGGGAGGTCCCATAAAGACTGCTGTTGTTGTAACAGGTGCTACCTGTGTTTGTGTTTGTGGAGGCGGTGGTGTAAACTGTTGTGTTGGAGGAGGAGGCGGGGGAATATAATATTGCCCTAAAGGCGGGGGCGTATAATGTTGCCCTGGAGGTGGACCGGTGGTTTGTAGCGGCTGCTGTAGTTGCTGTTGCTGCTGCTGCAATTGCTGTTGCTGTAGTTGCTGCTGCAGTTGTAGTTGCTGTTGCTGCTGTTGCTGCTGTGCGTCTGCAGCATTGCTGTGGGACCATGGCTCGTAGCTGATTCCCAGATTAAACTTCTTGTCGAGTTTAGTCACGAATTTCTTCATGCTGGCTGAATATGGCGGATCTGACGCCGGTTGAGTGTTCGTGCACGGAGTTGCAGTTAAAGATAGTGAGTGCGGGGATAGACGGTGCGGAGTGAGTACGTATGCTTGCAAGGATACTGAACCCTTATTTATGCAAACGGATCATCCGTTGCTCGTTTGCAGCTGAATTGGATTGAACATGATGGTGCTGGTGCCATCATACCACAGAACAGACCTATAGGTTATAGGCGTATCTCACTGCTTGATATATCGACCTGTCGAGCATTTTTGTGACCAGTTCGACAGGTGATCTTCGTCTGAGTCACGTGACCGTCACTCGATTCTCCAACAAAATCTTATCTTATCTGATCATATGGTACCTCTTTCTAGACCATCTCACTGCCAAAACAACAAAGCCAAAAGAAATCGTCAAGAACAGGATTCGAACCTGCGCGGGCGAACCCATGTGATTTCGTCTTATAATTCGAGTCACACTCCTTAACCACTCGGACATCTTGACTTAAGGGTTTATTAATCAAGCGTTACAAACATGAATTATAGTTGCTAACCTCCGTGGGATGATATGGATAATGGTCCGGAGAGCTGGAGGTAAGGGCGTCAGTGTTGGGTTATTAGAATGATGCTATGCATGAGCTCCAGTATGCAACATCGCGTTTTCATGATCCCATTTACAGAAATCTACCGCAGCGCATAAACCTTCAACTTCCTCTTCCCTAGACCCTTCTACTCCCGTGGCTCTTTTACCGAACTCCCACTTTCTACCTAACAGCGGGAGCACGCTTCACCTCCCATAATTTCTTGTCCCACCAATACACTTCCGATCTCCTAGGGGTCTTGATACGCCCCAGTGAATGATCCCGGGCGTTGACATCTCACAGCGGATCATCGTTGGGGAGATATTGATACTTGAGTCGCTTCATACGCCGTGTTTCCGGCGATATAGATGGCTGTGTAGGTTGAGACGCCGCTTCAGTAGTTTTGAAACCAACAACTTTGCGGACGCTATATCAGATCTACAGACTTGCAGGAGGAAGCTTAGATGTTCACAGACCCGCTCATGATCAGGCTCGCCATCTGTGGGGAAATATATTTTCGATATTGGTATCGTTGGATGGATCTGGTTCTTCATTGGTGTCTTTGTCAATAGATGCCGGTAGGTTGCTCTTGAGGCATTCCATTTTCTGAGAGTTCGTGATTACTCGATCCATCGATTGGTGCAAACGCTGCACATACACCGTTAGTCCTAATATGGGGCGTATTTTCTTCGATAGAGGTTGAAATCTGTATACCGACTAAAGGAATCTGAAGTCATATCGCGTCTCTCCCGAGCTTGGAGCCGGTCCTAGACTTCACTAATTTTTATACTGCGTGTTGGATACCATTCTGGGAGTCATAACCAAGCTCTAGCGGATCTACTCGAGTATGGACATCACAATGATGTTACCTATCCAGCTCCTTCAAACCCACGTCATAAAAGCTTCATTAAGGCCCAAGCTCTCACCACCACCAAAACTACCTTCAAACCCACCCAGCTCCCACTATCCACCCAGCTCCCACTATCCACACAGTCACCCACCTACACAACCCAATGTCTCCGCAAATAATCCTCATCACTGGCGCCGCCCGCTCCCTCGGTCTCGCCATAACCAAATCCCTCCTCACCTCCTCCCCCGGTGGCTCCATAATCTACCTAACCGCCCGTTCCCCAACCGCCGGGCAAACCGCCATCTCCTCGATCCCGTCCACCCTCAAAACCTCCAACCAATCCGTGCACTTCCTCCCTCTCGACATCACCTCCCCCGCCAGCATCAGCGCCGTAGCACGCACCATAAAATCGCGGCACGGACGCCTCGACGTCCTCATCAACAACGCCGGCGTAGAACTAGACATGAAACCCGGCAAGTCTCGGGCGGAAATAATCTCTGGAACACTTCCGACAAACTACTATGGCGTTGTAAACGTATGCAAAGAATTTCTTCCTCTGATCCCAGCGGGGGGGAGGATCGTGATTATTAGTTCTACCGCTGGACATTTGAAGCATTTCACGAGTGAGGAGTTGAGGCGGAAGATTAGTGCGGGGGATTTAACGGTGGATAGGTTGGATGAGATGATGCGTGAGTTTGAGGAGGGGAGGGAGGGGTGGCCAAAGAGTGCGTATTGTGCTACTAAGGCTGCGCAGAACGCATTGGCGGGGATTTTGGCGAGGGAGAATCCGGAGGTTAAGGTTAATTCTTGTTGTCCGGGGTGGGTGGATACGGATATGGGAAGGCATGTGGGGGGTAAACCGCCAAAGACTTGTGGTACGTACAGATAATCGATGTCACCTGTTCTTAGGATGCTAACACGGCGAATAGAGGAAGGAGCAAGAATTCCGGTGAGATTGGCAGTGGGCGATATCGGCGAGACCTCTGGGAAGTTTTGGGAAAACCCAAGTCTGTCAGATACGGGTTATGGAGAGGTAGCAACATGGTAGATACAAAAGAATAAACAGCAATCGAACCTGCCTCAGATGTTTTTTAGTCCCAAATCGAATCTGATAACCATAGCCCGTCACTCGCTAAAACTCGGTAGCCGTTACCCCTTGATGACGTGATTACACAAACCTTATCCCAACGACCGCCAAGCCCCTTCTTAACCCAAATTCGCACCCATCATTGCAGTAACACCATTGCCGACATGTCCCTCTACCTCGAAGCCTCCTCCATACTTCTCGAAACCAGCGGCTCCTTAAAATCCCGCATCTACCACCGGCCTTCCTCCTCCCCTACTCTAAAATCTCCTCCGGCGCGCCTATATGCACTAATAATCGAGACACTGAAACACCAATCCCTCCTCAATGAGGTGATCGAGAACTCCGGGATCCTAGGATTTGAGCGAAAGGTCTCCTCCCTTCCCCCATTCTATAGTACACGTTAATTAACATGCGGAAGAAACCAGCTCACACATTCCCTCGCGCTGCTCCTCCTGCATGACCACCTCCTCACCCGCAATGGAATCTCGACCTCCACCGGCCCTCTCAAAACCGCAATCCTAAACCACAAAGCGCGACTACAAGCCGAATTTACCCGTGCACGCTTACGGCGGGGATACGGGAGCACCGCGGATCTTCTCGCAGCGGTAAAAAAGGAGAGTGAAGCGAAGATACCACGATGGGTACGAGTTAACACCTTACGGTCCTGTCTTTCGGCCGTCTTAGCCACGCTCGCAGATTATTCCCCCGTTGAATCCATCGCAGAGCTATCATCAGGGAAGGTGTACTACAAAGACCCCATCGTCGAGAACCTCCTCGCGTTCCCGCCGGCGACGGATTTCACGACACATCCACTATATCTCAGCGGCGCATTAATCCTACAGGACCGCTCTTCATGTCTACCCGCACACCTTCTCGCCCCGCCGCCGGGGGCATGGGTCGTAGATGCCACTGCAGCGCCAGGGAACAAAACCACACACCTTGCAGCACTACTCCAAGGCGGTGGTGGTGGTGGCGGTGTAATAGCCTTCGAAAAAGATCTCCGACGCGCCGAGGTGCTAAAGAAAATGGTACACCGTGCAGGTGGGGACGAACTCATCACAATCCGCGGGGGCTCAGACTTTCTAAAAGCGAACCCTAAGGAGGAGCCTCTCCAACTCGTTTCCCACCTTCTCCTAGACCCCAGCTGCAGCGGAAGTGGAATCGTCAGCAGATCCGAGTACTCCCTCATCCCCCTCTCCACTCCCGCCACCGCACCCACAGGGAAGAAACGGAAACGCGGCGGCTCGAAACCAGCAGCTCCTGCAAAATCAGTAGTAATAAACGACGCAGAAGACGACGAAGAACAAGAAGAAACCAAATCCTCAGCTGCAACATCTCGTCTCCATTCCCTCTCCTCATTCCAAAAATCCATGATCCTACACGCCATGACGTTTCCATCCGCGCAAAAGATATCCTACTCAACATGCTCAATCCATGCGGAAGAAAACGAACACGTCGTGACATCCGTCCTCGCATCGAAGGTTGCGAGGCGCCGGGGATGGCACGTTGAAAAGCGCGCTGACGGTAACCTGCGGGAATGGGAGAGAAGGGGAATCCCGGAGAGTTGTGGGGGCGATGAGGATGTGGCAGAGGCTTGCGTGAGGTGTAATCCTATCGAGGATGGTGGAATCGGATTCTTTGTGGTTGCGTTTGTGAGAGATGGGAGCATTGACGAAGAAAACGAAACATCGCCTAAACAACAGCAGCAGCAGCAGCAGGAGGAGGAGGAGGAGGAGGAATGGAACGGCTTCAGCGACGACGACGAAAAAAATATCACTATCGAACCCATGGCCAATATCGAGACAAACCCAAAACGGCAGAAGAAAAAGAAGCAGAAGCAGAAGAAAAAGCAGAAATAATGAGAAGTGATGACTGTATTTTATATATATATAGACCCTATATGTATATTCC